CATTTTCAGCTCACGGACGCGAACAATGCATCGATCTCATTAAAAAGCATGGTAGAAGTTTTAGATCCGAAATAATAGACATTTTCGACAGATTTTAAGCATTTTCTGAGCGTTCACGATCTTTAACCGACGATTTCTTCCTTGTTATTGACCCAAACACTTTATAAATGCATATTTCTGAACTTCTTACGTTGAAAGGAATCGATTGAGCTCAAAAAACACGCATGTGAAGTTTTGATTTTTGAACGAAATTTTTCCAATGGTGGGGGTCGATTTTTTGAAAAAATGAAAATTTTCACCATAAGTTAATCCGGCCCTGCTATTTGTTGAGTTATAACTACACTCAAATTACAAACAACATTAATAAATAAGCTGGTAGGCTCATTAGTGGCGAGCAAATTCTTGCGAAGAATGTTTATGACAATAAATAGGTGATATTATGGTAAATCGTTATCGCGCAGAAATAAAACAGCCACAGTCGGATAAAACAATAGTCCAAAGCAGTGATAATTGCGTTTGATAAGGGGAAACAAGAAAATTGAGAGTTGTTGTCGCGAAGTGCGAACGACTCGAGCCCGAGCATTACTTATGTAGCCTTGGAGCAAGCAATTTATTACAACAAATTATTGTTTGCTTAGAATAAGACTGCAGCTAAAATTCGGTGTCCAAAAACGACCTCAAGAAGAATGAGGGGCAGATGTTCAGTTGCACGTGCCGCATGGCCAAACAGAAACCCTAAACCGATGTTAAAATTTTAATTTTAGAGTGGCTGCAAGCCAGGTGTTTTCGAGACGGACGAAAAGCAGGTACCACCATGCGATCGATTTACCAAACCGGGAATAGGCACAATCTCTTTGTCGCAGTGTATTTCGGCAAGTTTCTGATGCCCGCAGAATATTTTCAGCTCGGAATCGCGATTTTTTGCCACCCATAAATTTCCTGTTTGCTGTAAAAGCCCTTTAAATAATCGAAAACTGATTTACAGTAGACACCATTTCTGCGTTTGCTATTCTGTGGACACTGAAAGAATTGATTGCGCTTAAAGGACACAAAACTGACATTTTCAATGTTTTCGGACACTGTCCAAGCTCTCTGTGGGCGTCCGAAAAAAATCGAATTTATCAGCTTTATATATATGTATGTACTTTCCTGACTGTGTTTCAATTTGTCGAGCAAGAAAATGCATGCCAAGGCTTAAAGCAGCAACAACGCTACACATAAAAACTGATGATGGTGGAAAAATACACCGAAACGTATTTTGATTGATAAATAGAGACAATAAATGACTGAAACCCAGGAATGAATTTGATTTATATATATGCTCAAGAACCACCAGTTTGAGCTAACAAAAACCGGCAATTTCAAGCTTTGTATGCATTTTCTCGGGTTAGCAAATAAAAGATCAAAAACGACATTGGACTTACTAAATGACCGCCCTCGGTAGAGGCAAGTAAATAATGTCATAATATACGGGGTTAGATCAATTGAAAAGCCCAAATTAGACAACTTTCATATACATATTCAGTCAAGGAGTGGATCAAACAAAAAAATTAATAAAATAGGTACTCAATATCCCCATTATCATTATTATTATTATTTTATTAACATTAATCATCCCTTATTCTAAATAATGCTAATGAAGCTTTGGACACTTTCTAACATAGTGGGTCATGACAATCTGACAAGTAGGTAGATGAATGACAAACCGAAGAGGAAGGAAAAAATAACTAATTTAGCTGGTAAAACTCAAACAAGCCGCGAAATCTTGAACAACTCATCCCCATGGAACTTCGGCAAAAAACTGGGCGCTTCCCCCAGTCCCCAGCTGGACCGGATCTTGTTCAAGAGCAAATGCAACAAACCGATTCTTTCTCAATAGATAAGGGCCGGCGCCCCATTGAAATCCAGCTGAACACCCATTTGGTAACAGGCGGCACAAAACCTAAACCCAAAAGGGAAACAAAACGATCCCCAGCAGCGAAATGTCAATACCGCCCTTCGTCAACGAGGGTGGCAATTTCCCCATTTCCACCCAGAACTTACCCACTGAGCTAAAATCCAGCTCGACCATGATTGCTAGCACGAAAATATCAACAGTTCCACTAAGTTTTCATTCATCAATTCGCGAACTTTACACTAAAAACATTGCAAAAATCAGCTATGAAACATTTCGCGACAGGCGAACGAGGAACATACGGTACAAGCACAACACACAAACAGAGTTCCCCAAGCGAATGACGAACTGAAGAAAAATGCAGAGTTTCTGGCCAACTGTGAGAGCGATAGAGAAACGCGGGTGCCATCCTTGTCCGATGCATGCACATCGTTTTTTAAATCGATAATTGGACTGCCCCCTATTAGCAAATGAACACCTTTGTTTTTACAGAACCCTATAACAACGGCATTTGAGCAGAAAAACAGCTGGTTTTGGCATGTAACCTCAAATTAGAGAGCATTGCACCTTTCACAGATCTATTGTTATTTAGCCACAATATCCAGCGAAGCAAGTGAAGAAATCATTGTCACCCAGAAACTTCCTTATTGCCTGCCAAAATGAAGACTCGCTTCAATACTTTCGATATTATCTGCGTTGTTACCGAGCTGCAAAAGTGAGTACTTAGCTAATAGCTTAACAGCAAATCTAACTGTGCCCAAATCTTGCTAGACTCATAGGAATGCGGGTGAACAACATCTACGATATCGACAACAAGACCTACCTGATCAGGCTGCAAAGCAGTGAGGGAAAACAGGTCCTGCTGTTGGAGTCTGGAAATCGAATTCATTCCACCAACTTTGAATGGCCTAAGAATGTCGCCCCTTCAGGCTTCAGTATGAAAGTGAGTCCTTAAACCTAATCTGGCTCAAGAAGCCCATCTTCTAATAGTCAATGAGGTCAATGGGTTGAGGCTAGCAAGCTTCTGTAGTTGAAAATGCATGTGAACGTTTTCGCGTAGAATAACATTGTTTACAGAATTCCCAAAAAGCAATTTGTACAAAAATCCTTGAATTTCCCACTGTGTAGAAATTTCCGCTTTTTGCCAATTTCGTTTTATTCACAGATTTTTCCTTGTGTAAACTAATTTGCCTCACTTGAAAAACCCACAAGGTTGTTGTCGTCAACCCCCCCAAAGGTAAGGCTTTTTTAGCAATTTTCTCCCGGAAAGCTCCACCTTTCTCATAACTTCCGACGCTTGCCAGTAATATGATCACTAACAAATCAATTTACTCATGAAACAAAAATCCAACTTCCCCAAAAAACCACTCAGAACTTCGTTTATTTCAGCTGAGGAAACATTTAAAGAACAAACGACTTGAAAGGTTGTCCCAACTTGGAGTAGATCGGATACTGGACTTGCAATTCGGCACAAGTGAAGCCGCTTACCATGTGATATTAGAGCTGTACGATCGCGGTAATATCGTGCTTACCGACCACGAAATGACCATTCTGTATGTTCTGAGGCCGCATACCGAAGGCGAAAAGGTGAGATTTGCCGTTCGGGAAAAGTATCCGCAGAACCGGGCTCGAGAAGAGGAACAAGTGAGCAGGGAGAGAGTGTTGGAAATTTTGCAAAAAGCGAAACCCGGGGACCAACTGAAGAAAGTGTTACTTTCCAACTTGGGTAAGCAATTTAGTGAGGCCATTATTGAATTTACGTTTATCCAGCTGGAGGTCATTTCTAGAGTTTGGGCCGGCACTTTTGGAGCATGTTTTGCTGAAGCAAGGGCTTGTTAACTCGGTCAAGATTGGGAAAACTTTTGATATTCACAATGATATTGACAAAGTGATAACAGCCATTTCTGAGGCAGAGTCTATATTCAAAACTGCCCAAAGCCAACCATTCAAGGTAGTTTTCAATGCGGGTATACTACGGCGCTCCATCACTTTCAGGTTTCAGGGATACATCGTTCAGAAAAAGGAAGAAAGGCCTGCGACTGACACAAAAGATGTGGAAGATTTCTACTCGAACCAGGAATTCCATCCTATGCTTTTCCAGCAGCATTCTTCCATGCCTTTTAAGGAGTTTGACTCTTTTTGCGTAGCAGTCGACGAGTTTTTCTCTAGCTTAGAAAGTCAAAAATTGGAGCTTAAAGGTAGAAATCGCGCAAAATCCCCGTGAGAGTTTTGGCAAATAAGGCCCGGGTTTTAGCTGTGCAGCAGGAACGCGACGCAATGAAGAAACTAGAAAATGTACGGAAAGACCACAGCCAACGATTAATTGGCTTAGAAAAGGTCCAAGAAGTCGATAAACAGAAGGGCGAGCTAATTACGCGAAACCAGGAATTGGTGGACAGTGCAATATTATCCATTCAGATGCTTCTGGGACAACAAGTAAAGCGCACTGTTGTTCAAACCTACTTTTACTAGAACATCTACTGATTTTTCAGATATCCTGGGCTGATATAGATGAAGTGGTAACCGAGGCACAGGCAAAAGGAGACCCAGCGGCTCTGATAATAAAAAAATTGAAGCTGGAAATAAATAACATCAGTGTGTTCTTAACCGATCCGTACGCCGAAAGTGCAGACAGTGATGCTTCCGACCAAGAGAACCAAAACGCGGACAAAATCCCTTCAATGATTGTAGATGTTGATTTGGACTTAACCGCTTTTGCAAACGCCCGAAGGTACACACTAGTTTCAGGCGCTAAACCGTATTTTGAGCACGTTGCTTTAGATATTACGACCAGAAGCGATCAGCGGCGAAGAAGCAGCAAAAAACCATGGAGTCGCATACAAAGGCTCTAAAGTCCGCGGAAAAAAAGACCAAGCAAACTTTGAAGGACGTACAAACCATAACGAATATCAACAAACTGAGAAAGGGATACTGGTTTGAGAAGTTCTACTGGTTTATCAGCTCAGAAAACTACTTGGTTATCGCTGGTAGGGATCAGCAGCAGAATGAGCTTATCGTTAAAAGGTAGCATTTCACGCAAAGCCTAAAGCCGCCTAAACGCCCCACTTTCCAGATACATGAAGCCCACGGATGCTTACGTCCATGCTGATATTCACGGTGCGAGTAGCGTGATTATTAAAAATCCAACCGGTCTTGCTGTGCCTCCGAAGACTCTAAATGAAGCTGGCACTATGGCCATTTGCTACAGGTTATTAGGAATGTTCGAAATTTTCGGTTGTGCTTGATGCGTTATAATTTTAGCGTTGCTTGGGAAGCGAAAGTGGTAACCAATGCCTATTGGGTTTGGGGAGAACAAGTCAGCAAAACCGCCCCCACTGGAGAATACTTGTCCACTGGTAAAACACGCTCTGTTGTATCGGTTACTTTTTAAAGCACAATAATTTTAGGTAGTTTTATGGTCAGGGGGAAGAAGAACTTTTTACCCCCGTCACATCTAGTGTTGGGATTGAGTTTTCTATTTAGACTCGAAGATGGATGCATAGAAAAACACGTGGGTGAGTGTTCAAAATCCAGCCACAGCCGAAAACTGTGTGGCTATTTAATTAATGTGATATCATTTAGGTGAAAGAAAGGTCATCGTCCAAGAGGCGGACGATTTGAGCACCATAGAGAGCGAATCTGGCAAGGACGATGATGTCGAAGTGCCCATTCTAGACGAAAGTGACGGTAAGTTTAAATTCACTGTAAATGTCTTAATGTTCGTGTGTTTGTAATCACAGAGGACGAAATGAACAAAGAAGAACAGGCGGAAGGCAGCGATTCTAAGGAACCAGCTGACGGGATCTTGAGTGAAGACGATGAAAACAAAGATGAACCATCGGATAGTGAAGACGAATCAAACTTCCCGGCTACACATATAAAGATTCAGCACTTTGGAGGCACAAGGTATTTGCAATTTTTCAGTTTCTCATTTGTCTGTATCGGATGAATTTGTTGTTTTAGGCAAATTGTTACCGAGCCCGTTTTTAAAAGGAACGAGAAAAACGATGACGAAAATGTGATATATTTAGGTGACGACAAGCCCATAATACTAAACCCATCCATGAGTAAGGGCAGAAGTAGAGGCTCAAGTGAATCCAGCTACAAAGATCATAAAAAATCAGAAAAAAGTGAGTCCTAATAGTTGAATTTCAACCTGGCGGTTGGGAGCGGCATCACTTCGATTCAGTGATATTGAAAAGCGAGCATTTGCTTTTTTGCTTTTACGTAATTAATTATTCACTCGATTAACGTTTCTGGTCTAAATGAAAAGTAAACATAATTATTCGCCGATTTGTTCTGGAAGTGGATTTAAATGACCGCAAAGTTATCTACCCCATCTGCGACAGTCGATTCGCCTGGGGAAATTAATTTTTTTAGGTCTATACAATGTTTTCAACGATTAGGCGTATTTAGCGGCAACTAAAAATATCGATAAATTTTCCAATTAGGCCGCCTAAGGTAAGTTTCAGATCTGTGTTTAATGCCACAAACATTTCAGAAAATGCCGAGCAACAACAGCCGCAAATAAAAAGAGGGCAGAAAAGTAAACTCAAGAAGATTAAGGAAAAATACAAGGACCAGGACGAAGAAGAAAGACAGTTGAGAATGGATATTTTACAGGTAATTTTAATGCCGCAATGAGCCTGTTTAAAAAACTAAAGTTTGAACATGCTCTGAAATTGTAGTCATCTGGCACGCACAAGGAAACGAAAAAATCGAAGAAAGGTGGCAAAGATCAGTATTCGAAAAATACGAAAAAAGAACCGCGAATGCCAAGACCGCAAGAACCAAAAGAAGCCAATGATTTGGAAGACGATGAACCTGTTGTGCAGGCTGATGTGGAAATAATCAACGCGTTTACGGGCATTCCTGCAGAAGACGACGAATTACTGTTCGCTATTCCAGTAATCGCTCCTTACAATACTTTGTCCAGTTACAAGTGAGTCTGTTGAAAGCAATACAGTTTCCAAATAAATAAAAACGCATCTTTGCGCTTTCAGATTCAAAGTCAAACTGACCCCAGGGATATCGAAAAAAGGCAAAGCATCGAAAACGGCCGTGTCCATGTTCATGAAGGACAAGGCGACCACTCCGCGGGAAAAAGACCTGCTAAAAGCCGTCAAAGATGAACAATTGGTCAGAAATATTCCCGGAAAAGTCAAACTATCCGCACCTAAATTGCAGACTCTTAAAAAGTAAAATGTTACTGTTTAATTGTATTTTTGTAGCTATTAATAAATTCTATTACATTCTCACTGTGCTTATTTTACCTAATTTTGCGCTTTGTTTGAACGTTTGAGTTCTGGTAAAACATCTTGTAAATTATTCAAGCCGAATTCGCCTATCGTCGGACCAGTTTGGTCAAGATCCTTAGACAAAAAATAATCTACCCAACTGTTGTTGTTGAAATTGAAAAATGCATTACAAATTATTATCTTGGCAATAAACTTGACCGCTAACGACAACTTGCTCGCTAAGAACCGACCTGAATTATCCGACTGGTCAGATTGAAGGACGTGAAAATCTCCAACCTACCATTAGAATATACATTTGCACACTCTTATAAAAGGTCTTTCATTTCGAATTTTTTTCCCATTTAGTATCAAGCAGCAAGCACGCAAAATGCGATTTTAATTTCTTAAAATGCATCTGATTCACGTTTGTCTGCTAGTGTATGTGACCGTTGGGATTCGGTTTAGTGAGGGATATTTTCAAAATAGTTTCGATCTGTTTCCGGAATTGCCGTTGGGCGTTCCAAACAGCGGGAATCCGGTGTGCAGAGAGCAAAGTGAACTTTTCGTGGATAACTTGAAGAATCTTACCCTATGGGCTCATGAAAGTACGTATAGGGCCTTTTTAAATCTAAAATTCTTCCATTTTCCGAAAATTATTAACAAGACGCTCCTTCAATTAACTTCGGGTTTACTAATGTTGCCGCCTTGAACTTTGGCTACATTGCTTAACTTCGTCAAGAATATTGATAAAGCTGTTTGTTTCATCGATTA